GTGAAACATCCAGAATAAGCAAATTTATGGAGTCAGAAAGTAGATCAGTGGTCACCTAGGGCTGGGGCAGGATGAGGTTTGGAGGGTAATGGACAGTGACTGATAATAGGAATAGGATTCCTTTGGGGGATAAAAAAGCTCTGGAATTAGTGGTGATGGTGACATAATTTTGTGAACTAAAAAACACTGAATTATACTTTAAATGAGTAAAATGGCATGCAAATTATATCACAATAAAGCTATTAAGAAGAAAAAGATATGGAGAGTGAAGCTCAAGGACTATATGCAATTTACCCAAGATCAAAAATTTATTGACTGACTCGAAATCAAATTACTTGGTAATTTAATACATTATCAGCTTACTATCCTTACCAAACATAAATTGAACAAACTTTCATATGAGAAAAAACCCAACTCAAATATTATTAATACCACGTAATCATCGCTTAGGGTTTAACTCAGCAATACAATAATATATATTCACTATTCACTTTTTCATTGCTTACATTGCCATTTTAGAAGTTTCATTTCATTTTGATAATAAAATTATTCCACCAAAATGTATCATCCTGATCCTGAATGTATCTTTGGCAGGATGTGGGAAGCATCATCAGATTTTCAGAAAAGTAAGGTTCCATTCTTTATAGAAGATTTTGAGAACAATTTTCCAAGCAAGGTTGTTTTTATTACACTTAAATATCAAAATTCTTAATAAATGTAGATTTAGTCACAGCCTGGCATTATTAATCATTTATGAGAACATTTTTCACCTAAATATTTATAAGAAACATTATAATATATATACTCAATTTTTTATAATTCAAGAGCAAAAATAGCTCAATTACTTTGTATTATTCTTTTTAAACCAAAAATATTTCCCAGTAAATCATGTAAAATGTCACTTATACTGTTTCCTCATGACACAGAATAGTTAATGAGAGAATAAGGAACCTAGTTTAAACAAACCAAATTTATACCTTGGAATTTTTATAGGCTGTTTATGAATATATAAGTTGGGGAAATCTAATAAATACAGAGTCACAAATCAATGAAAGGTAAACTAACAGAACTCACCTAAAAACAATGGGAAATTAGTAACTAAGATGAAGTTAAACTTAAAACAATTATGTTTAAAGATAAAATGGAAAAATTATATAAAATTTTACAAAAATAAGTAACTCAATTCCATACATGCTTAATATGAATATTGTCCATAAATGTGTGAGGAAGCTCTCTCTTGTGAATTAAACAAAACATGTGGGGAAATTCTCATTTTTTGAATTAATTTTAGTGTATCATATTTCTGAAAGAAAAAGGAACAGCAACAATTTGGCTATACTCATATTAAAGTATGGGTGCCTGATATTCTACAAATCTACATTTTCAACTAAAATAGCAAAATCACATTATTGGACCCTCTCTCTTTCTATTACAACCCCAAGTTTCCCTAATCAGTCTCTTGTTTACCATAGTTATCGATTCATCCACAAAGATATTCTAACTTTCCTTCAAATCCCAGCTTTGCCATTTACTAGATGGATAAACTCTGGCAGATTTATTTTCCTTTAAAATGCAGCTAATGATAAAGTCAATATTAGGGTGAGAATAAATGAGATAGCACAACTAAAGCACTTCAATATAATACCTTATATAACTCAGCATACACTGGTTACTGTTATTTGTTATAATATACCATACCTTGGTTAAATAAAAGGCCAAAATGAAATACTAAGGCAGCCTTGGCTTTGTTAATATTCTTTTTAATATTTCTTTGCAATTATCTGCCTATATGTTGCTTTTATCTCACACTGAACATGAGTTGAATGTAGTGTTTCTTTTCCACTTGTGCGCTTCTACTAATATTGGAAACTGGCTATCAACACATTTTCAATGAGTCATATCCTTTCATATATCAGATTAGAAAATGAATATGTGCCAATGTTACCCATTCTCTCGCGAGTCAACTGTGTCTCACGCACAGAAGTGTGGTCTTGGATATATCAACCTTCACAAGCTAATTGAATGGTCAAAGATAAATTCTACAATAATCTATTTGTGTGCAATTTCCTTCCCCAAGTTATTAACTTTAAAGTTAGTAGTACAGAAAAGCCAAAATGGACCAAAGAGTTGAATACTATTTTTCTTATATGGATAGGGAAGTATTTATAATAATCCCCCATACATTGTTCTGCAATATTTTTTGGCTTTCTCTTGGTTTACCAATTAGTCAAATCAGAAAAATCACGGAAATAGTGGGATCTTAAGCATTTGAGCATTGAGACACTTACGATATCACAGGGGAAATGAGCATTTTATAGTTCTATGTTGTTATTCAATTGGATAGGAATTCGTCAGTTTGGGTAACTGTGTAGGCTTTAGTTGTTCAATTACAAAACTGCACATTAGGGGAGCCATGGTTGGTAAATTAAGTTAGATAATCATGACAATAAATAAACCACAATGATTTCTTTTTTTTTTTTGAGACAGAGTCTCGCTTTGTTGTCCAGGCTAGAGTGAGTGCCGTGGCGTCAGCCTAGCTCACAGCAACCTCAAACTCCTGGGCTTGAGCGATCCTTCTGCCTCAGCCTCCCAAGTAGCTGGGACTACAGGAATGTGCCACCATGCCCGGCTAATTTTTTATATACATATCAGTTGGCCAATTAATTTCTTTCTATTTATAGTAGAGACGGGGTCTCGCTCTTGCTCAGGCTGGTTTTGAACTCCTGACCTTGAGCAATCCGCCCGCCTCGGCCTCCCAGAGAGCTAGGATTACAGGCGTGAGCCACCGCGCCCAGCCTACAATGATTTCTTGTAAGTGAATACTTTCTGCCACCATGCAATACTTCACATTTTTCAATATCAATGTGGTATCGTGGTTAAGCAATTTCATGACAATTTTTTGGAAAACAAAAAGTCTAGCAATGTACTGTCTCCTAAGATAGGATGGAGAATTAGTTGCCTTAAATAATAAGAAGAAACAAACATTTTAGGAAGTTCAGAACTTAGGTTGATGGAGGGCATTAACCACGTGGCTGGCCAGTGGCAAACACCATAGACGCTGATGTTGACTTTGGTAACAACACTCAAACCTGCTCTCACCCCACAGCCCTAACTCGAGATGAGATAAACAAAGAGCCACAGAGACCAATGCTTGGGAGTGGGAGAAAATTTAACCCTACAAAGAAGCCAAAGAATAATGTAGAAATCCAACTGAAAAAGAATAAGGCTTACAGAGAGAACAAAACTTAAATACAAAGAAAGTATAGTTGGTAAAATTAAAAACAGCTACCCTTTCCCACAACCTCCCCCCCACACACACAAAACTTTCTTCTCTTATCTTCCCCTGAGTTTTCACTTCTCTGACTTTCCAGGATATATTGGTTCTCATCTCCTCTGGCCCTTATTGTTTCTTAACAACATTGATTTTAAAAAATCATATTGAAATAAAATCAATATTACCACTGCTCTGGGCTTTTTACATGTGTTCTCTAATGTAGTGTCTACAAAAAGACCCCAAGCCACACTAGATAGATAAACCTTGCTGATAAAACATAGTAAAAAAAAAAATACAATTTATTCGGAGTTTTAAAAAACATAGAAATATATAAAAAGCAAAATGCAAGTCATTGGTCCCTACCCTCAAAGGAAACATAGCTAATAGTTCTGTGTGCAGTTCCATAAAACAAACAACAAAAAACTTAAATATATATACTATAACTTTTTTGTTACTATTATTACTTTTAAAAAGAAGGTATGCTATGTAAACAGGTTGGCATCATTTTTCTACTCACTAGTACATGGTATACTAGTATATGCTAGAGATCTTACCATGGAGATATATTTACACTTTTTAATGGCTACCTGGTATTCAACTACATGGAAATACCAACAGTCATTTATTAAATACTTTATAAGAGTATCAAGCTGCAATGAATACCCTTGTACATTACCTGGAGGGTTCCTTTTTATGAGGATAATCACTGGATAAGTTTCCAGTAGTTAAACTGTTTGATCAAAGACTATATATATATTGTAACTATTGAACAATACTGCTGAATTGCCTTCCAAGAATGTTAGGTCATTTTAAAACTCTCATCAATAGTATAAGAAACTATCAATTTTTCCATATCATATATATACATTATAGTATAGGTATAATATATAAGTTATATATATATATATATATCTCAAAATATAGTTTCTACCCATGGCTTGACACAATGCTATACCAAAATACTGAACTGTACTAGAACACCAAATGAGTAAGTCAGCTGAGATGGTAATGTATATGACTTAAATATATGTCACTATTGCTTTCATTAAATGGTGCCACCACTGGATACTGGAGTTTTTCTGAACTGCAAATATAGGCTCTTAAGAGCGACAGAAAACCGCCAAAAGTAGATTAATGATAATATCAATATTTGATAAGGAGTATTTATCAGTGAAAGCCTTCGCACAATCATGATTTATTTCAAAGAAACTTAATAGAAAAGTTTAAGAGAAGATGACTTAAGATTTGTCAGATAGAGTGGTTTCTAATTTAGCATTTCAAGTCATTCTTATGTCCAGTAACAGAAAGAAAGGTCTTCAGAGGTTCAAGACAGAGATTAACTGAACTATCTTCAAGCAGACAGGCATATATGGTTAAGCACCACTGTGATCTTCTTTACAATTACCTGGTAGTATTGAAATCTCAGGATAGCACTTTGCTATTTATAGCCCTTACGCTATTACGTGAGACTAACTCAAGATAAGAAAAAATGCCCATTGGTAATTTATACTATCACACTGATTTTTCCAGTAACCAAGCAACCTTCAACTCAGACCTAAACAATCATAAAATGTTGTGGTGCTAAATAATTTACTGTAATCACTAGAAGAATTTAGAAGAATTCTAGTGTTTTCAGACAAAGGTTTCGTGCTTAGAAAAGTTCAGAAAATGCTTGATATGATGAAGCTCAACAGAGCTGGTTTTTTGTTTAGTGTTTTTTTTCTTCTTTTTTTTTTTTGCTGCACTTCTCAGAGCTCCATTTTTGAGATATAGTTGCAGCATTTTACAAAGTTATCAAAACGATGAATGGTTCTTCCCCTAAAATATTCATGTTTTAGAGAACAGCAGTGTTACCTTCAACAGAGATTAGGTCATGCAACTACCTATGCACTAAGGATGGGTCTACATCTTATTCTTTCTCTACTGTTCACACATTCTTTAATATATAGTAGAAACACACTAAATATTTGGTGAATGAATAACTCATCATTATAAAGTAAGAAAAACCAAGATTTTAAATTTACCCAGCATTTGGAAAAGTCATAGCATTCACTGCTGATAAGGGCATTCTTTTCCACACTGAACTCATAAAGTATTGGGAAAGCTACTTGAAAATCCTGATAATAAGGGCAACAACCTATAGTTCTCCCTCCTCCTCCCCCTACACAGCTGTAAGGTAGGTATTATTTAGTGTATAATAAGTAATAGAACACACAATTGAGAATATTTTTAGCACAACTGAAGAATATTTAATGACATCAGAGAATGTGCACAAAATAATATCAAATAAAAAGAAGATACAAAACTGAATATAAAACATGTTTCCAATTTTGTAATACCCATAGACATGTCTATAGACACCCACAGATATTCCCACTCATGTATTTCAATGGAAAAAATCTTGGAAGGAAATGCCTAAAAATATGTTAATAGTGATTTTTGTCTGAGTGATGGAATGGCTACGGATTTTTTGTTTATATTTCTATTTTCTAAATTTTTACAAATAACTACATTAAGAGCTTACATCTGTTCATTTTATAAAGAAAACCCAGGATATATAGATCTACTTTCCAATGCTTCAACAATTTCCAAATGCCTAAGTATTTTTTGTCTACATATAAATTCTATATTCAAATGCAAAAATATAACTTTGGGGTTTTACATTTACTAACAGGATCCAGAAGACACAACTGAGGCAATAACGCTCTTGTCTCAACTGGAACCCTGTTGTGAAGAGAACAAAATGGTGAGCATGACGGTGGCCTTAAGAAAGGCATGACTTCCCCACCATATGCATTTAGGAGCACTAGACGATGAACTTCCCTGAATGAATGACTTTCGTGGCTTCTCAATCTCAAGTACACAGGCTATGGGCAAGGAGACTGGAGTATGATAAAGACCCCAGGATAAATGCGCACCTCTTCCTCCAGTACCCGTTTACCCTAGGGAGGGTGAGTGGCAATGGCTTCACAAATTGTCCTTCTATGAAAACAAACACTACTGACACGTGATAGGGCAGAATGCCAAGTTCACATCAACTTTTTAAATAAAATCAAAACTTCCAAAATTTCCAAAGAAATTTCAAACTTGCTAGAGTTTAGGGCAGATAGATACAAATACACTGTCCTTTAGCAGTTTTTGAAAAAGTCTGGGTGAGGCAGGAAAGGAAGAGGACTACAGACCTAGAGAGGATGGATGTGCCTGAACTCTGTGGGGACTGCGAGACAGTGCCCCTGGCCCCACGCGCACAGGCAGAATCAGAGATCTTTACGGCATTCCGATGCCAGAGGGCAGGGCCAAGGTTTCCTCAGATTGCTTCAGTCTCTCCGAGGAGAAGGCTGCCAAGTATAGGGTGAGGGCGAGAGATGGCTCTGCTTCCCTGTGAAAATGAGAGTCAGCGACAGGAACAGCGGGTGGAATCAAATGCAAAACACATTTCCCAGCTTTACATTAAAAACTTCAGGGATGTGCAAATAAAACACTAAGACTGGATGATTTCACGATCTGTGAGTTCATTCTTTGGCCCCCAGCAATTATGGGCATTCGAAGAACTTAAACTTGAGTTTTTCTTTTGGTTAAGAAAGAATAAGACTGACTTAGGGGGCTTTCTAGTATATATTTAAAATCTAATTATTATATATGCAAGTATATTGTTTTAAAATATTTCATGCTCATTTTGAAAGAAACACACATTTGTATGTGTATGTATTTAGAAAAAAAAGTATAGATGGATATATACTACTATGTGATCGTTAAGTAGTGGGACTATGGTAGATTTTTATTTTCTTCTTTATATTTTTTCTGCATTTAAATTTTTCTGCCAAGTTTTTATAATCAAATATTTAAAATACCTAAAAGAGAAATTATCTACAATCTAAATGTTATTTTTTAAAATAACCAACAACCTTCCGTCTTACCTACTGAAATATGCGTCATTCTGGACCTGCCATTCAAATCCAATCATAAATTTAAATAAAAACTCGTAAAACTTATTGGCAGCATTAAAAGTAGCAAGCTTATTTGAAGTATTTAAAAGTACTGAAGCACATATACCACTATGTAGTAATGCTGAATAAAAATGAAACCTTGATCATATGAATTTCAACTGTTTTTTAATAAAAGCAAATGGCCCACAATTATGGCCATCTACCAACCATAATTCCTATCAGAACAATACACACAGGATAAACTACAACAGGATAAGCGTTACTATCTCCCCATTCCATATAAATCTAAGTTGAAAATAATAATCACACTGTAACTATGGTTACCAATTGCAGATAAGAGTTGCATTTTCTGCTTACTCGTGTTAGCTGTGTCCATTAATCTTGACTTGTCTTTGTCACATCAGTTCCATATACATGTTTTAGTCCTATTTCAGAACTAGCAATAGAACTCACATTTTACCCATTTAGGAGAGAAAGTATATTTATATCTGTATTATGTACGTTTCCTACCCCAAATGCACCTCAATAAAAAATATTTGAAAAAAAAAAGCCAAATAGTTTAATTTTGAAGTAGTATATCTGACCAGCAAACAAAACCCAGTTATAAAGAGTTTAGTAGAATTTTTTTTTCTCATCAAAGAAGAGAAAAATATTAGTAAGCAATGATTACTCCCAGGGACCTACTGACGCATCTCCACGAACCAGAGACCCCATCTCCACAACTCTGGCCACATCCCACCATGTGTCTCTGTTCATCTGGCCACCACATTCCCGCTGCTCTCGTGGCATGGAGTTGCTTTCAAAAAGAATCTCACTCCATTGCAGTCAAGATGCACCGAAGACACACACCTTGCCCATTAGATATTCCAGCTCAACCTAAAAGCAGCAGCTTTAAAATTAAGGGTTTATAACCCCCAAAATATCACCCCTGACCAATGTGCAGAGAAGAAAATAACTGAAAGGAAAATATTAATTAAATCAAAACAACAGAACTTAGCAGAAAACTCCATGCTTTGTTGTTGTGGTTGTTGGACTAATATTTTGTCTTCAGCTATGAGATCAAAAGCTAAGAGAAATGAAGTGATATCTAGATGTTTGATGTGAATTTTGTAACTACAATCTCAGATCAAAATAATAAATACTTTTAAAAGGACTTTCATTAAAAGAGGAAGAGAGAACAAGGGAGATGTAAATTTGTTCTCCAGACTAATGAACAGTGAAGGAGATAGTAGACCTATTAATGCTCAAAATATGATGGCCCACGCATGACATGATTAAATTGTATATTTAGGAGGCAAACAATATAATTTCTCTAGTCCTCGCTGATTATGACATCCATCTTTAAGTGATTTCAACTTGCTCACCTTGTTATCTAAGAGAATGATCAGGAAATAATAAAAAGTAAGCAGAAACTGTTTCGTCCCAGCTAACAAAGAGCTTCATATAAAACTATGAGCTCCTAATGATAGTTACTCTGCTATTTTAAACTACATTATGCAATTTCAAAAATTATATGCAGGCACTCACCATATGTTTTTGATGAAGTTTAAGGGGACAACTTCCAAAGTGTAGCTCTGCCCTAGTGGTGAGAATACTGGATTTACAGTCAAAACTCTGAACATGAATTGGATTTATAGCCGAAACTCTGAATGTGAATTACATTTACAGCCGAAACTCTGGCTCTGTTATTTTATACGTTGTATCAACTTGAGCTTCAGTGAACCTTCTGGAGATTTAGTTTTTCTTCTGAAAATGTCCTTGCTTAAAAATTAGATTATGGATGCCAAATGAAGAATAACAGTCATGCATTTTTCAACTACAGTTGGAAATAATACAATCATCAATGGAGAATTTTTTTCTCTCCTAAATTAATATAAAAGATTGTTTATGAGCATATTCCAGCTTCAAGACTGTTTAAGGTAGCACACTAAATGAAACTAAGTCTGTGAACAAATCTTCTGGAACACCCACCAAAAAGGCTCACTTTTATTCTTTAAATAAATCCCCTTTACAAAGCATACGCAATTCCACAATTCTACATGCCACAGAAACTACTACTTAAAATATGCACTTACTTACAAATATCAAAGAAGGTGGTGGTGGGGTAATAGAGGGCCTTTGATGCTAACATCTTTGAAAATAAAAAAACTTACCCTTCTGGAGACTTCATAATTATGAGATTTAATTTGCAGGAAATAAATATGGCAACAAGTGAGAAACATAAGGGGATGGCTGATAATGCCCAACTAGACAAGATCTTGCAAGTTCAAATAGTACCTGAATTATACAGAATATACAGCAAAATGCAAGAAGAAAAGTCAATGAAAAAAATCACAGAAACCATTTCTTTCTGTACTATTGAGTCTCAAATTATGTTCTAACTTCTAAAGAAAAAAAAGATTTGGGAACACAAAGTTCAGGTGGATGCAAAGCAACAAGTATATATACCTACACCACACACACACACACACACACACACACACACCCCTACCCCTCCCTGATATTGAAGGTTAGCTCGAGTTTGGTCATGTCAATCTCAATAAATAAATAAATAAAAATGCAAAGCAACAATTTAAGTATGTATACCTACACCACACACACACACACACACACACACACACACACACACACACACACACACACCTACCTCTCCCAGATATTGAAGGCTAGCTCGAGTTTGGTCATGTCAATCTCAATAAATAAATAAATAAATAAAAATGCATAAATGTAAAAAGCTCTTAGAAAGCCCAGGGAGCTCCCACATAAAAATTATCAAAATTATTCAGACAACAGGTAATCAAAAAAAAAAAGATGATGTAATTATTCTAGAAACCATTTAGCAAAATCTAATTGTATATCTCCCTGTTCTTTCCACAGTAGAGAAATAATAAGACTAAGAAAGAGGCTAAAAACAAACAAGTTGAAGTATTTTCATGTAATCTATAATTATCCTACAGGAAGGATATCCCTGGGATAAGAAGAAGGCAGGTGACTTTGTACAGTTTAAAATACATAATTGACAATTATGTAAGAAAGCAACTATCATTACCTACTAAGTGAGATTATCTTTTAATGAGAAATGAAATACCTGTTTCACTTGGGGAAAGGGATGGGAGGAGAATAAATTCATTACTAATCCTTAAAGAGATGAGTTTCTTTCCTGTGACATAACATTTAGGATATAGGATAGGAAATTTTTCAAAGAATCCATTTATGAACAGTCAACACTCAACATTTTTAACAAAAAAGCCTGGGTAGGTTATTAGTCTGTTCCAATGGGGGCCTTTTCATGGTTCTAATTAAAGTTCAAATTCAAAACTAGAAAATTGCCATTTCTCATACTTTTTGATTTTGTTCATAACAGTCAACAATGCTTAAAAAAATCTGTAGCTATTTCAGTAGATTATATGATGGAGGATTTTATACAACGGTAAAAAACAAAAACTCAGTGGAATGAAGAGTGACTCATGAACGTCATGAAATTATCATTACAGTCCTATGTTTCAAATTAGAAAGCAAATATTTAAAGACAGTTGAGATGAAATAAATGGCAATTCTTTCAAGTGTATAGAGATCGTTTTAAGGATATGAGTAAAATATTTCTGAGAACAAGAAAGATATAAATTTTCAGTATTTTAATTACCTTGACAATTTTGTTAGTCTGGTAAGAATAAAGAAGTTGAATGGAGAAAATGATGTTTCTGAGCTAACCATTTTCATTGACAGAACCACTCTTTTTAAAAGAAAAAAAGCAAAACTTGATAAATATATTTCATTAATACAAATCAAGGAAAACCAAATAGAACATGTCAGTGGTTAAGAGCAAAAGCTTTAGGGTCATAATACCTACCTTATAAGGTCATTATGAAGTCTGAATAGGGTAGCTAATGAAAAGATTTGGGTGGATATGATGGAATCAGTTTGGTCAGGCATCCTCAAACTATGGCCCGTGGGCCACATATGGGCCACCTAGCACATTTATCCAGCCCTCTGGGTGTTTTTGCTGTCCTGCTTAGCAGGCGACTCGTCCTGGGCCCACAGTGTGCACTCTCCAACGGTCTGAAGGACAGTGAGCTGGCCCCCTTTTTAAAAAGTTTGAGGACCCCTGATGGTCATTTCCAGTTTGAAATGCCCATGATAGCTCAACACCTATGAGATATATAATTAGGAATCATCAGCATTTTAAAGATATTAAAAGCCACAGGAATAGATGGATTCATATATGGAGAATCTTTAGAAGGGGAAGAGGAGAACGAAGCTAGAAAGAATTGACACCTAATGTACAAGATTACAAAGTGACTCAATTTGTGGTCCAGAGATCTGGGAACACTCAACATCAATTGAAAGAAGTGAAAGAAAGGGGCGTGTGAAAGCTAAAACAAAGCTGATTGTTATTCAATTTCAACAAAATTCAAATCAATATCTTTGAGCATCGACCATTCATTCAATCATTCAGCAAATACATTAATATAATAAGCACTTTGCTAGAAACTGGAAATACAATGATAAACAAGACAGAGTTAACATAAGAAGATAATGAACATGGGAATAAGGCAGGGGGGGAATATTATCACCAAGGGCTCCCTGGTCAGCCAGCTTGGATATTCACTACTTTTGGCAGTTCTGTCCATAATTACAGATGAAAATTACAACTTGAGATACTTGCCAAGAAGGTCATTCAAATAGTCCCCCAAATTCCCCCAAACTCTGTGCAAACTCTGATAGCAATGGCTTTTTTTAGATAAATACTCCTTTAGGTAGAAAACAGCTAAAAAAAAAGTTTTGGATCTGTTCATACAAACATGAATGACCATGCCCGTTTACACATCAGCATCTTGTAAATTTGGTTTGCAGTGACAAAGGATGCTGTGTCACCTCCAAAGTGCAAGATCTTAGAAGCTCAAGACCTCATGGAGGTACTGTATTTTGTGAAGCTCTGCCTGAGTAACCACCCAATCTCCCTTGTTATTCACCCCTAACTATTAAATATTAATATGAAACATTTTTTTAAAAGGTTAATCAAAGTGATCTTAATGAGCCTGAATGAGAGGGGATACTATGTTCCAAAGAATAGCAAGGAATACTTTCCTGCTAAATGCTGATCTTTCTACATGCTGATGTCCAATCCCAAGTTGTCAGGATGAAGATTTTTGGCTTTCGGTAGAAAGCCTGGCACGAGGCACTGTGAGCACATGTTTTCAAAGTGATTTCTTCACATCCGCCAGCATGACTAATATCCAGGCCTCTAGCCAAAGCCATGCCTTACGGTTGGGCTGCCTGGCCTCTGAGTGAAATTCCATGGTTCCTAATTGGCTACAAACACAGCCGAATATTCGCACTTCCTATTGCACCTGAGAGCAAAAGCCTTCCCATTCCCAGTTGCATCCTAGCGCAGACACCAAAACATACTGTCTCCATCTCCAATGAGCCACAAAGGCAAAAGTTCCCCCAGAACTTAGGTTTATGGTACGCACTCCCTGCAAGGCATTCCTTAAAACAGTCATGTCCAGAAGCAGCAGTGGACACTGCTATGAAATCCTGGCACTGCCAAAAAAAAAATAAAATAAAAGTCAGATTAAAGTCCTGGCACTGCTATTCTTTTTTTGTTCCTCAATTCTCGTATTTCCTCCCACTCCCCATATTGCTCCCTTGATTATGAAAAGTAATGCCTTCTGTCATCTCCTGTTGTTCCTTAGTTCCTAACCAGAAGCCTTGCTCTGTGTGGCTCTCTGACTCGTGCTGAAGCTCTACCTGCCCAGGGATCATCACAGGATGCTGGACCCAAAGCCTCTGCACCGTCGCCTGTTCCAGACCTCACGTTCACAGGGGACACTGGTGTCCAGAGAAATTAAGTCAACTGCCTGAGAGCAACACACTGGTTTCTGCCAGAACCCAGATCTCCTAATTTCCAAGCCAAAGGGATTGCCAGTTTTTCCTTCGGCTAATCCTCAATGATCTTAAAATAAAACCCTCACCCTCTAAGAGACCTAACCAAAATCATCATAATGACCCTCTAAACAATGTCTAAGATGTCTCATATACTAACTTAAAACAAAAAACAAACATACTTAAGATTTTATTCAGGAGACTCTGATTCTAAGAAAAGGAAAAAATTAAATACAATACAATAAAGAGTGTTACAGAACCATGTTCACAAAGAAAAATTAAAGAACTAAGCACAGGACCACCCTAAATTTTGAGCCAGGGCCCAGGCTTCCAATCACCATAAATGGCCCTGTCTCCAGAGGGGCAAGGTAGGAAATACCATGGTTCACAGTAAGCAAACAGACTTCTATTTGTAATATCTCTATTACAAAAACTTAATTCCAAAATGATGAAAATGGCCACCATGTCCAAAATATTTTTACATGTAATACCTTGTATGTTCTTCACCAAATGTACAGCTGTGGCACCTAAAGTCTGTAAATGGCATGTCCTTTTATAACCCTTGCCCATTTTCTCCTTTCTTCATGTTCATGTTCCTTCAAAGATAATTTTCAGTATGGTTAAAAATAGAATGATATAGAACTTTGATTCTGTGGGCTGTTAGCTCTTTTTGTATACTTATTTTCTCTTTGATGTTATATCAGTATATTGTAGCAATTTAAAAATAACACAGAATATATTTTTGTTGGGCCTTTGCTTTTATAATGACATAATGGTTTAGAAGCTTAAATGTTTATCAGAAAGCCACTCATCTCAAAAAATTAGTATGGTAGAAAAGAGCCACAGAATAAATAATTACGAGACCCAGGTAATAAAGGTGCTGGATAAACCTCTTACTAGCTCGGGCACGTCACTCAACACTTGAGTCAGTTTGATCATCTGAACCACCACCGGATTCTGTTATATGCTAGCCAAGGTTCCTTGGGTTCTAACATCCTAGGGGCTGAAATCTGTTTCTCCTGATGTCTACACCTGTTCAGGAACCCAGTGCTCACCAGAGATTATGACACCTCCAATTTTAGGAAGGCTCCAGGTCTCAGCAAGTCTGACTGATGGAACAGCAAAGAGACTGTCTATTTCTGGCCTTTCTCGTCGGATGTGAGTGAAGCCACACAAACAGGCAGGGAAGGAATCTTGAAGTTATGTCCCAGTCATGTGGAAGGGATTATCCTCAGGGAAGACTTCAACAATGTGGTCAGTGCTGTGACAGATTATTATAAGGGAGCTTCAGGTACATCAACAAGGGACACAAAACCTCTAGGGGAGAGGGCAGGTGGGGAAGATGCTACTACGTGACACCTGAGCAGAACTCGCCCATTGTCCCCGTGATCAAATCTCTCTGTGCGTCTGCCGTGCTGGTTTATAATTTGCTTTGCAAGCCACCGGAGCAGAGCCTGTGGCGTGCTTATTCGTGGTGTATCTCCCGCTTTCAGAGTCTGGCACACTCGAATTGTACTTTCTGGGACAGTCATGACAACATAAAATGGTATGGAAAATGTGAGCAGGATGGGCACACTAAGAACATTCTACCTAAAGTAGCTATGAATTTTGAACTATAAATTTTGAGCTATAAATTTAGTACACTTAAAAATTGGCTTTTCGGATACTAAAAAGTGAGGGGATTGGGCAAGTTATAATTAAGAGAGAGAGTATAAGAAGAGATAAATAGTAGGCCGGGCGAGGTGGCTCACGCCTGTAATCCTAGCACTCTGGGAGGCCGAGGCGGGAGGATCACCTGAGCCCAGGAGTTTGAGGTTGCAGTGAGCAAATAATAATAATGATGATCATAAAGGAGATGGCAAAATGAAGGAAAAAACAGAAAGAGGAAACCAATGTAACAGGAAGGGAGCTCTTGAAAAATGAAGATCTACTCAAAGACTGAAAAACTTGACTGAAAAAGATTGAACATCATGTCTTTCTTGCCAGCTGATGCTCCAGTTGTACCAACTGGCAAGAGATTTATCCATATCCTAGAAGAAGTATTTCTGAATAGGAATTCCCTTGAAATAAATTAAATACATGCAATGGGGAAAATAATTAGCAATTCCTTAATTAAATCTAATTTATACTCTAATAAAAGCAGTGAACCAAAAGTTGCATATTAATTTTTGGTTTTGTTTTATGTTTCTCCCTTTTTTTTTTTCTTTTTACTCCACCTGAAGAAAAGCAGCAGATAATTTTTGTTTGTTTGTTTGTTTTTGTTTTTGAGACAGAGTCTCACTTTGTTGCCATGGTGATGGCAACAGCAGTGTCATCATAGCTCAATGCAGCCTAAAATTCCTGGGCTCAAGTGATCCTCCTGCCTCAGCCTCCCAAGTAGCTGGAACTACAGGTGTGTGCCACGTGCCTGGCTAATTCTTTCTATTTTTAGTAGAGACAGGGTCTCATTTTTTCCCAGGTTGGTCTCGAACTCCTGAG